AGAGGAGCACCCGGCTCCCAGGTGGACAGAGGGTTTTTAATTCACGATGGCTTCTGATGGAGAAACTTTGGAAAGAACCTAAATGCCCATCACTATTATTTTTTTAATATTTTTATTGATTTTTCACAGAGAGGAAGAGAGAGGGATAGAGAGTTAGGAACATCAATGAGAGAGAATCATCCATCAGCTGCCTCTTGCACACACCCCACTGGGGATGTGCCCGCAACCAAGGTACATGCCCTTGCCCGGAATCGAACCCGGGACCTTTCAGTCCACAGACCGATGCTCCGGTCCTGGCTGTAAAGAACCTAAATGCCCATCACTATTAAAGTGAAGACATAACAGCATCACTGGGTAATGCGCGCCACATACCCATTTAAAATGAACTGATCAGCCAAAACCGGTTTGGTTCAGTGGTTAGAGCATCAGCCTGCGGACTGAAAGGTCCCAGGTTCGATTCTGGTCAAGGGCATGTACCTTGGTTGCAGGCACATCCCCTGTAGGCAGCTGATCAATGTTTCTCTCTCATCGATGTTTCTAACTCTATCCCTATCCCTTCCTCTCTGTGAAAAATCAATATAATAGCCGAAACCGGTTTGACTCAGTGGTAGAGCGTCGGAATGCGGACTGAAAGGTCCTGGGTTCGATTCCGGTCAAGGGCATGTACCTTGGTTGCAGGCACATCTCCGGTAAGGGGTGTGCAAGAGGCAGTTGGTCGATGTTTCTCATTTGAGTTTCTAGCTCTCTATCTCTCTCCCTTCCTCTCTGTAAAATATCAATAAAATATATTTTTTTAAAAAATCAATAAAATATATTTAAAAGAATAAAAGTAAAATAATCATATCCACAAAGTTGACTCTAAAAAACATGTCAGTAACTAAAGTGATTAAATGAAAATGAAAGAACCCAAAGGGGAGTCCAGTTCCCCTACACCCTGTGCCCCACCCCCTTCCCTGTGCTGGGAGAGGTAAACCCACAGCCAGAAGCTAGGGTGATGGGAGGAGGGGCAGTGGGAGGGAAGGAGGGCTGGGAGAGAAGAATGTGCCAGAAAGACCAGGAAGGAGGCGTGGCCTGCAAGACAGCCTGGGTGAGGAGGCGGGGCTGCATGAGGCCTGGTGTAGCCTTCAGGGCCCCTGCTCTGCAGTGAAGGCCGCAGAAGCAGCTCCAGAGCAATCCCAGCATGGCAGGACTGGAAGGGGCCTGAGCCAGGTGGTGAAGACCCAGGAGAAAGGGAAGGACGGAGGGATGCACTGGGCTGATTGCTGCCTGCCAGGTGCTCAGGCAGAGAGGCTGCCAGCCTGGTCTGGCCTCACCCACCAGGCTCAGTGGGGGCCCTGGGAAGAGGAGCTAGCCCTGGGCATGCTGGCTGTACAGACTGCTGGGAGAAGGATTCGTGAGCCCCTCCTGGGTGCAGAGAGGAGGCCCCATTGGGAGCCTGGGGTAGAGAGAGAGAGCTGGCGGCTGGATAGACAAGGCCAGGGCCCAGGGCACACACACCCAGGGGAGGGGACACAAGAGGGGGTTTGCTAGCACCACACTTGTCTCTGCGTGACGGGCCATCTGCTTTCAGGTCTCAGTGTGTGCCCATGCTGGGGCAGGCAGTCCTGGCCCCACCTTGCCCCCCACAGCATGGACCTGGGGACATTATTCCTGGACAAGAGACATGCATCTCTAGGCTGAGCCCTGGGTCCCCGCCAGGACTGCAGAAGCCCCAAGACAAGAGACTGCCTTCTCCAGTCCATGGACCCCAATTCCCCAGGTGGGTCTTACCCCGATCCCACTGAAGGGTGGTTGCAAAGCCCAAGAGACTTGATAAGTGCTACCAAAAGGAGGTTGTTGCAAAATTGCACCACGTGCCAGAAACTGTGTTCTGTTTGGATGGGGCGGAGTCTCGGGGTGGTGCAGACAAGCTTTGGTTTCCGGTCAGCCCCTCCCTAAGAGGGTCCAGTTCCTGAATCCCGCAGTAATGGCTGCTGGCTACCGGAACCTCCGAGAGAGCTTTGCCCACTGCCTGACAGTCCAGCCTCTCCCTGACTGGGGCCGTCTATCAGAGCAATAGGGCGGTTGTTTTCCTCCCGAACAAGAAAGCCAGCCACACGCGTTAGCTGCCCGCCCTCTCCGCGTGCCTGAAGCGAGCCAGCAGCGAACCCGGCTGCTGCCCTTTCTGCACCGCACAGATCTCCGCACCTCCACAGCTCCTGAGGCTCAGCGACCTTTCTCTTCCCTTCCTAGATGGTAGAGCTTCCACTCAGCCAGCCGTCTGGTATTTCAGGGCGATGTTTGCTCTGTTTTCCAGTTGTAAATTTAAAATTGTTGTGGTAGGCTGCCTTTAGGTGTCTACCCATCTTGGTTTCTCAGCCACTATTTCTGTGAACACCACCCCTGCCCCTGGTCTTTTCCTCTCCTGTGTAACGCCCACCTCCTTGGATCAGTTCTCTCTCTCTCTCTGCCCTTCACCCCACTCTCATTTCCCTCTGTCTGTCTGTGGTCATTCTAGGACCAGCCCTTCATTGGAGGGTCATTGTTTTAGTTTCCCAATTCTTCAAAAACTCTATCCATGGATTTCAAAAATATTTTATTTCTAGAAATTTCCTTGATTCTTTTTCAGTCTTTTGCTCTTACTAATATTCAATTCCTTAGTTTACTTCTTTAAATATAGTAATATACATTTTTCATAGTGTGTCTGGTTATAGAGATCTAAAAATCTGTGGGGTTTTCTGTTGACCTTGTTTCTTTGGGGGTTGAGTGTTTCTGGGTTCCTTCAGACTTTTTAGCAATAAAGATTTATTTATTCCTTAGAACCTTCCTACGGAAGGCTCAAATTGGGTGAGGGTTCCCATGGTAAGTTTCACACCTACACTTCCAGGCTCCTAAAAACACTACCTTGCAGGACTATTTTGGGCTTTTATTATTATTATTATTATTATGACCACCATTTTTCAGAACTTGTACACTTATAAATTTTTTTAGTTTTTTAAAATTTATTTCAGAGGAAGGGAGAGGGAGAGATATTATAGAAATATCAATGAGAAACATTGATCGGCTGCCTCCTGCACAACCCCCTATTAGGGATCGAGCCCACAACCTGGGCATGTGCCCAGACCTGGAATCCAACCAGCGACCTTCTGGCGCATGGGATGCAATTCAACCAACCAAGTGACACCAGCCGAGCTACACCTGTTATAAAACAAACTAAAGCAGATGTGAAAACTAGCTAAGAGCCTTCTGGGCACCTGCACCGATTTTCGTGGAGCGGGGTTCATGACGTTGAGGCAGATGTGAAGACTGGACCCAACTGGCCGTTGGAGGCCACGCCAGAATCTGGGGAAGCTGCTGTGGTTTGACCATGCGGCAGACTCCCTCTAAGAGCACTGAGTTATGATGTGGAATCTGAACCAAATGTTTTGTTTACCTGGAGAACCCCGGGGCTTGCTAGCCTCCTTTCCCATGTTCTCAGGACTCAGACTCCTGCCTGGGGCTCTGATGTGCTACCAGCACCGCAGCCCAGTGAGAAGCAGAGTCTTTAGCCCAGGAACCGGCTGTGGATGCACGTCCCTGCAGGAGGACGGCCTGGCCTAAAAGGCTGGCCTCGAGGTTCGGGGCACACAGACACGGGGGGAACTGACTCCTGAACCAAGGTCTCAGCATCGGTGTCAAGACTAGCCAGCGGGCTCCATTTTCAGTAAAAGACAACAGATGCAAAGGCAGAGCTGCGAGAGACGACTGCCCTGGCCGTTGGCACAAGGGCTCAGAGTCCTTCATTTATATGTCTTCCTGTCCAGAAGCTGACACGGTTAATTCCTCCACCCCAGCAGACGTAGGTCAGGGTGAGCCTTGTCCTTGGGGGTTGGCTGGGCCCTCCCCCATGTCTTTCCCCTGTCTGCCTCACCTGCAATGCCCAGTCCCACTCTGGGCCCCCATCTCCTTACAGGCACCCCATTTCTCCCTGAGGCAACTCCAAACCTACATTCGGCTGCAGGTTCTCGGCAGGGGTTTGACAGTGCCAGGCACCACAATGCCTCCTTCCCCACGTGGCCCTCCTCCTGGGTGGGCCTGGCTGTCTCCTGGCCCTGGGCCTCAGACCAGAGCTCCGAGCCCCCAAACCCTGGCCTCAGACCTTCTTGTCAGTCCAACTGGGACTGGAACTCTGCTAACCTATTTTATCTGGTGTGCTTGGCTGTCCGAGGGAGACCTTCTCCACATGTCTAGTCTGCACAAAACCACGTCCCAGCACCTTCCACCAAAATGAAACTAGAATTCCACATGAGCCGCTTGTAAGTCAAACTTTAATATTCACTCTGGGGCACAGTGGGCACCCATAACGTCAGTCACACTGCAGTGGGAGGATGGCATCTGGCTTAAGGGGGCCTGGGCACAACAGCGGTGGTGAACCACACAGCGCTCTCGGCACACAGGCTCGGGGGGAGGAGGGGCTGCCCAGCCACCGGGGCCAATGCTGTGGAGCGGAGTGCCGCTGGAAATGGTGCCGGGGCTCCCATGGCAGCGCCGAGCGCGGAGGAGCACTTGGAGAACTGTTTGTGGTGCCTGTGGGCAGCCGTGCCTCCACCCGCCGACATGACCACCGCACCCTCCACATGTGATTCCTGACCTGAGACATGCCCCAGCCCGATGAGACAATTCCCACCTGCCCCTGCCCTCCCTGGCTGCACCGCCTCGGTGCCAGGCCTGCCCTGAAGCAGGCTGGTGGTGCAGGCGGCGGGGAAAGACCCACAGGCACAGCCTCTCACTCCTGTCCTTGGCCGGTGGACAAAGGCCTCCAGAGGCACGAGGTTTGCAACCTTGTCTGGATGCTGGGAGAGGGGGCAGGCGCAAGGCTTGCTTCCGGCTCCCCCAGCACAGAGCCACCAGCAGAGGCGGGGCACATGGTGAGCTGGACACCGCAGCCGCGGGAGTCCCACCAACACTCGGGACCTTCCACGGACGCATGTCTTCCAGGTGTGCGGGGACAGAGGCCTCTGTGGGAGCGCGGGGGCGGCGGGCTACTTGGAGGCTGTGGGCCACCAGTCCGGCACAGATGCAGTCAGGGCCACGCGGCCGTTCCCCGTGGTACTGACGTGGAGCGGGCCCTTGATTTTCTCCGAGTGCAGCAGGGCCAGCCCCACATCCCCCTGGCCCGCCCGGTACTTGCCGGCCTCCTGTCCAGATTCAGTGAGCACCGTGGTGCCGGGGGGGAGGCCGCCCCCGGGGAGGGGGCCCGAGAGCTGCACAGGGAAGAGGCGCTTCCGGATGACCCCCGTGTGGTGGGTGCGGGCTGTCAGCTCCTGGCCCACATAGCAGCCTTTGGTGAAGCTGACTCCGTTCATGAAGACCAGGTTGGACTCCAGCGGCAGGGCCACTCCTGGGGGCAGATCGTGGACCCCCTCAGGGACACCTGTGGGGTGGAAAGGGAGAAACAAGGTGAGGCTGAGGTGTCCTGCAGAGCTGGGGCTCAGCCAAGGGAGACTAGCACGGCCCCTCCTCCCCCATAGCACCCCATCCTCCGCCCGCCCGCCACCACCTCCCTGTTCCCTGGCGAGGGGCTGTCTGGTCCTCAATCCTCCTTGCTGGAAAAAAGCCCTCCTCTCTGACCCCCGCCATGCCCACTCCACTGGCTCCTCCCTGCGCCTCCCAGTCTCAACTGGGCCCTGCACTCCAGCCCCTCCCATTCCACCCGGTCGGTCTCCGCTGGTCCCAGGTGCCCCCACACCTTGCTGGTACCGGTGCCGGTGGTAGTCGCAGACGTCCCTGAGCCTGCCCCCGGCCACCGGGGCGGGGCTCTTGTCCTGGGTGAGAAGCCGCCAGCCCATGCGGGTGGTGCGGGGGTCCCGGGCGAGGATGGCAGAGCTCTGGTGCTCGGGCAGTGGCGCAGCCCCACCCACCTCCTGAGGAGCGGCCGGCAGGACGGCCCACACGTGCAGCTCAGGGCATGGCTCCACCGTGACCTTCCGCCGGATCTTGTGCAGCACCAGGTGCTTCTGCAGCGCGCCCAGCACCGAGCTGTCACACTCCAGGAGGAAGGCGGGAGCGGGGTCAGTGTGCTCCGGGAGCCTGCGGGAGGAACGGGGCATTGCTTGTGGTGCTGACACCCTGTAATTACTAACAGCAAAGGGGCACCGGGGAGGCCAGACATCATAGGCATGCTCCCTGCAAAACCCTGGGGAAGGGACTGGACACAGGGCAGACAGATGCATGCCCTGTAGAGCTGGTGACAGGGAAGGTCCTCCCTGCTGATCACACCGGGAGAAGTCGGTGGCCAGAATGGGTGTGGCCACTGCGAGGAGGGACAGAGGTTTGGGACATACAATCCCCTCTCTGTGGGGCTCTTTTGCTCCTGCTGCCATGGACCTACACACAATGGGTTGAGGGGCTGTAAGAAGCCTGATGCTGAACTGGACCAGCTCCAACACAGAAAGGAGCTCTGGACACCGCTTTGCCTTAGCTTTACTGAAACCCCAGCTACACTTCCATGAGTGGACGAAGGGAAATGGGACTTTGGAAACGCAGGGATGTAATTGTACAGCAATAAAGCTTCCTATTTCATCTTCCTTTGGGGGCATAAGAACCCCACTTCCTGTCTGGCTAGTGAGGCTCAGTGGTTGAGCATTGACCCATGCGCCAAGAAGTCACCAGTGCAATTCCCAGTCAGGACACATGACCGGGTTGTAGGCTCCGTCCCATGTTTGGGGGTGTGCAGGGGGCAGCCGATTGATGTTTCTCTTTCATTGATGTTTCTATCTCTCTCTCCCTCTCCCTTCCTCTCTCTCTAAAATCAATTTTAAAAAATTAAGAAAAGAACCCCACTTCCACTAATAACAGTTCACAGGGTGTCACAACGTGGGGACCAGCACGCAAAACCCAGCCGCAGCTCCCCAATCCTCTGCTCCCACTGTGCAGTGCAGTGCACACAGGAGACCCCACAGCCACCGCAGGACCCCTCCACACCCCTCCCACCCAGGCCACGGGCACAGACATGCACATGCCAAGGGCCAGCAGATTGTGTCTGACACTCAAGGTGAGGCAGAAAGGAGCTGACCCACCCCAAGGACAGATCTGCCTCCCCCAGCCCCAGAAGCCACCGTAAGCCAGGGTCCTGGGGCCCTCTGGAGCGCCGAGGCCACACCCAACCACACCACCTCCCACTTTCCCAAGGCAAACCCAGGAACCATCACCCCAGGCAGCCACAGCCACAAAAAACGCCCCCAGGTTTCTGACGCGCTGACCAGATGGATGGCGGGGCTCCTTCAGACAGATAAGCAGAGGAGAGGCTAGTGCAGCACTAGAGTGTGGGGCTGGGCGACAGCGGGGGGCTAGGTGGAGCCATCTGGACCCCACAGTTGGGGTCCGGGTTAGAGATGTGGATTGAGCAAACTCCCAGAATGGTGGCAGCTGAGACGGGAGCAGGGAAAAGAGTGAGGGGCATCATCTGCTGCCCGACCCTCCCCAGAGCCTATCACCTGGCTGCCCGATCTCAGTGGCACACACACTTGTCTCACATGACCAGTTGCCACAGGACCACCACAGACAGGGTAACAGGGTGAGGAGGGTGGGGAGGACCTGCCACAGCAAGTCAGGCTGATCCCTCACTTTCCACATGTCCTCACAGGACGTCAAAGACGAGGTCAGCTGAGCAGCCAGAAGAATCAGCCAGAAGAGTTCAGAGAAGTTGACACAAATAAGAACAGGAAAAGAAGTTCAGTATCACTCCTCAGTCACAACACAAATCAAAACCAGCAGGGACAGCCCCTGGCCAGGTGGCTCAGTTAATTAGAGCACCTCTGAGTATACCAAGGTTGTGGGTTCGATCCCTGATCAGGGCACATATAAGAATCAACCAATGAATGTATAAGTGAAACAAATCTCTCTCTTAAACAAACAAAAAAACATTAAATCCAGCAGGTTCAGCACTAGGTGGTCAGGGGTGCTAACATAAAGCAAGGCCACCCCATGCTGGCGATGCTGTGGGAAGCTGACCACAGAATGTTGCTGGTGGGAATAAGTACAGCAGCTCCAGAAAAGGGTTTATAGGTCCTTATAAAACTAAACATCAACTACCACCTGAGCACTACCATCAGCTACCACTGCACTCCTGGGCCCTTACCTGAGAAATAGGTTCACATGAGAACCTATACACAAATGTTTGTAGTTTTATCCATAACTGGAGGCCCCGTGCACAAAATTCATAAACGGGGAGGAGGGGAGGGGCGTTCCTCAGCCTAGCCTGCACCCTCTCCATTCTGGGATCCCTCCAGGGATGTCCGACTGCCTGTTTAGGCCATCGGGATCAGGCCTAAACGGGCAGTTGGACATCATTTTCACAATCCAGGACTGTTGGATTCCAACTGCTTGCCTGCCTGTCTGCCTTATTGACCCTAACCACTTTTGCCTGCCAGCGTGATTGACACCTAACTGCTCCTCTGCCAACCCAATTGCCCCTAACTGTCCTCCCCTGCCTGCCTGGTCACCCCTAACTGCCCTCCCCTGCTGGCTTGGTCACCCCTAACTGCCCTCCCCTGCAGGCTTGGTTGCCCCTAACTGCCCTTCCCTGCAGGCCTGGGTCCCCCCCTAACTGTCCTCCCCTGCAGGCCTGATCGCCCCCAACTGCCCTCCCTTGCTGACCTGATTGCCCACAACTGCCCTCCCCTGCCAACCATCTTGTGGTGAGCATCTTGTGCCCACATAGGGACAGCCATCTTATGTGTTGGAGTGACAGTCAATTTGTATATTACCTCTTTATTATATAAGATAGTAAAAAATGACACCAAACTGCCCTTCAGTGAGAGAAAGGTTAAACAGACTGTAGTTCGTCCCCTCAATGGAATACTTCTCAGCAAGGAGACAGGATGGACCACTGGTCCCAGTTGGACAGAGATGAAGGATATTATGGGTAGTGACCATTTGTACAACATTCCTAAAATGCCATAATCACAGAGATGGAGAGAGAACAGGGAAGGGTCTATAGGGCTGAGGGGATGGCAAGAAGAAGGAAACCTAGTGGTGATAGAGTAGCTCCATCTTGTTCAAGGTCACATGGGTATCCACACATGGTCACAATTACACACCTATTAGCATGGTCAACATCCAGAACACTGATAACATCAAACATGGGTGAGGATATAGGGCAACAAGAGCTTGTGGAATATAAAATGGTACATCCACTTTGAAAGGTTTCTTACAAAACTAAACATGCTCTAAAAAGCAATTGTGCTCCTTGGTATTAACTCAAAGGAGTTGAAAACATGCCAACACAAAAATCTGCACAGAGATGTTTATAGCAGTTTTATTCATAACTAGAGGCCCAGTGCATGAAATTTGTGCACTGATAGGGTCCCTAGTGGCTGCCAGCTGGGCCTCCCTCCCTTCCCCAGGTTGGACCCATTCCCTGGTCAAACTCCCAGATGAACTCCTGGTCAAGGGGACAATTTGCATACTACGCTTTTATTATATATGACTAGAGGTCCCGTGCACGAAATTTATACACAGGTAGGGTGCCTAGGCCTGGCTGGCGATCAGGATGGATCAGGTTCCCCGCCTCCCTGCCTCCTCTTCTCACTCCCTCAGCACCCCACCACCGCAGCCTGCTGCTGGTGGTCACCTGCCATGTTCCACGCTGCTCCCAGTTGGTCAGTGCATGTTATAGTGAGTGATCAAACTCCTGTTCTCCCAACTGAACTCCCGAGGGGGCCCTTTACATATTAGCCTTTTATATATATTTGGTTGCCAAAACTTTGGAGCAACCAAGATGTCCTTTAGTAGATGAACAAATGAATAAACTGTGCTACAACTGGTATTATTTGGCACTACAAAGAAATCAGCTATCATAAGCCATCAAAAGACATGGAGGGCGCTAACTGGTTTGGCTCAGTGGATAAAGCATCAGCCTGCAGACTAAAGGGTCCCAAGTTTGATTCCTGGTCAAGGGCATGTACCTTTGTTGCAGGCACATCCCCAGTGGGGGGCGTGCAAGAGGCAGCTGATCAATGATTCTCTCTCATTGATGTTTCTAACTCTCTCTCTTCCTCTCTGTAAAAAATCAATAAAATATATAAAAATATTTAAAAATAATAATAATAGTGTACAAAGGATATTATAAAAAATTTTTATTAAAATGTCTCTTACATACTGTTATACTGGCTGGGCCTCAAAAATATTCGTTGCAGGCCGCGAGTTGGACATGCTTGCTCTACAAGCTTTCATGGCCCCAAAACAAGGCATTTAGCTTCTCATCAGAAATGCCAGCTCAGGAAGACAGGCTATGGTTTCACAATTCTCAGTGGCAACTTTGCACCTGAAGTCTTATTCCAGTCACACCATCAGGTAAGACCACTTGCAGAGCTCTGATGAGTCCAAGTCCACCTGCAGTGTCCACCTCTCAACAAGCTCCTCTGCGAGTCCAACGAGGAAGAAGCAGCCGCGCCCACACCGGAGGGGACACGGGGGTTCCCGGGCCCAGCATGCTTCCCCACACACTGAACTGCACCACCACTGGAACTGCACCACACACTGGAACTGCACCACCACTGGAACTGCGCTAGTGGGCGGTCCCAGAACCGTCCCGTATAACGGGTCGTGATAATGTCGCCGGGTTGATGTAAAACACCAAACACCGGTATCACTGGATATGGGGGGATTTGGGAGGGAAGTGCGGAGGGCACCGCAGAACTCAGAAAGTCGTGGCACAAGCCGGTCACGCAGAAGCCACTCCCTGTAGCCGTGGCTTCCTTTTCCATGCAATGAAGACAGGGCGACCGGAGCAAGACTGAACCGGAGGGAAGGGCAGGTGCAGGGCCGCCCAGCAACCACCACCACCACCACCAGCACCAGCACCACCACCACAGCGCCTGAGGGCCTGCCCTTCGGTGCCCCTCCCCCCACCTACGGAAGCCTTGCCGGAAGCCCTCCCCCAGGCTACCGCCCATCTTCCGGTGCCCTTCCATAAATGCTCCTCCTCCCAGCTCCCCACCCCTCGCTTGGGTGGTCCGCTTCCCTCTGACTCCCCACTTTCCCTCAGGTGCGCCTCCCCTGGCTCCCCTTCTCCCCACAATCCGCTCTCACCCATAGAGAATGACGTCATACAGCGTGCGCCCCTGGACGTTGAGAAAGTGGGCGTAGCCCGCACGCGCGGGAGGCGAGGCGGCACCGTCCGCAGGAACCGGAAGCGGCAGGTCATTGGTCAGCAGCCCCAGGAGGAAAGGGGCCGAGTCCGGCCCGCGCACGCGCACCAGGGCGCGTTGGCCCAGCGGGAAGCAGGCCCAGGCCGCGCCGTCAGCGGGGTCGCCGCCGTGGCCGCTCGAGCCAGAGGCCCGGCGGTGCCCTGAGGTCGCGCGCAGGCGCCAGAGCCAGGCAGGTCCGCCACACCCTGGAGCCGCGCCCCGGAACAGCGCTGCGACCGCCATCTTGGGTGCGAGCGCGGCGGCGGGAAGGAGCGACCCGGCCACGGGTGGGTTCCACAGCGGCCCCTGGCGGCGGGCGGAACAAGTGCGGGGACATGGATGGGCGGGGCCTCGGGCTGGTCGTCAGCCCCTCGCCCCGCCCGGCCCGCCGGCGTGGGATCCCGTTCCTCCGGGCTCGGCGCGCCTGCCCCGGCCTGCGGTGAATCTTCTGAGCCCTTTCCGCTGGCTTACTGCCGCCTTAGCGCTCTCCAGGTGCACAGCTCAGGAGCAGCAAGCGCATCCCCAGTGTCCTGCAGCCATCCCCGCCATCCAGCACTTTCCCGTCTTCCCAAATGGAAACATCATACCCATCAAACTGGAGTCCCCCTCTCCTCACCCCCTGGCGGCATCCCCCTGCCCCACCCCGCTCTCTCTGTGAACCTGACTTCTCTGGGGACTCATATGAGAGAAGTAATGTGACATTATCCTTTTGTGACTGCTGATGCCACTGTGAACGCTGTCCTCCAGGCTTATCCACAGTGTGTCAGCATTTCCTTCTTAAGGCTGAATAACATCCCCTGACATTTTGTTTACTTAACTCGATGCTGGACATTTGGGTTGCTTCCCCCCCTTGGCTATTGTGATTGTGCTGTATAGACATGGGTGTGCAGATATATCTCTTTAAGACTCTGCTCTTGGCATTGTGCATGGAAATCCACTCCTATGTGTTGTTGACTCTCACACTCCTTTCACTTAGGGCACTTCTGATCACCAAAGGTGAGCACACAGGAGGTCCATGCCTCAAGCAATTCAGCTGGGTGTCCCACAGGTGAAGGGCCAGAGCCTCTAACTTGAGGTTCCCACAACCGTGTCCTTGCGTTCCATTAATTCGCTAGAGTGGCTCACAGAAGCCAGAGGAACATTTCATTGCCAGCTTCTGGTAAATATAGCTCAGAACATCCAGATGGAAGATGCGCAGGGCAGGGTATGGGAAAGAGCGAGGGAGGGGCTTCCATGCTTTCTGTGCCCTGCCTCTCCACACTTCCACCAACTCAGAAGCTCTCCAGACCCCCTAACGAAGTTGACGGAGACTCCCTCACACTGGCACAAATTGACTGAATCGCCGCTCATTGGTGATTGATTCAATCTCCAGCGCCTCTTTCTTCCCTGGAGGTCGGGAGGCAGAACTGACCCTGGTTGGCTTCCCTGGTAACCAGCCCCCATCCTTAGGGCTTTCCAAAAGTTACTTCATTAATATAAGAAAAGACTCCTTTATGGTTCTCATTACAAGAGATTCAAATGATTTTAGGAGCTCTGTACCAGGAATAATACAAGGCCAACTATACCCTGAGTGGCCAGATTATTATGCGTTCAGAGGTCATGATAATCTGGCCACTCCGCGTATATCTTCCACTGTAAGTCACAGTATCACAGGTAAATACCCTAAGTGGAATTGCTGGGTCGGGTCATACAGCAATTCTGTGTTTAATTTTGCAGGAAATCTCCATGTTGTCTCCTAAGTGTCTCAGTCAGCTCATGATGCATAACAAACAGTTCAGGCTGGGTGGCTTAAACACAGGCCATCTCCCTCAGAGTCGGAAGGGAGGCTGGACATCCAGGATCAGGGTACTGTCGGGCAGGTTTCTGACAGGGCCTCTCTCTTCTTAGTGTGCACACAGCCCTCTCTTACTCCAGGTGTCGCTTCATATAAGGATACCAGTCCTATGGGATCAGGGCCTCACCCTTATCACCTCATTTAGCCTTAATCACTTCCTGAAGCCCATTTCCAAGTACTGTCACACTGGGCATACGGATTCCACAAGTGGATATCGGGGTACATAATTCAGCCCTTAACACCAAGCACGGTTTTTAAACGCCTGCTCCCCCATCAGTTGTTTGCTTCCAAGGGAAACTTCGAGAGCATATAAATAACTCACTGTTCCTGAAACCCACAACTGGTCTACCCAGGAAACTGCAAGGTGGCAGATTGAAACCAGCCACAAGTGCCACAGCCCCTCCTGTGCTGTGTTCATCTGCTTCCTGCTCCCCCATCTGCTGGCCTGGGCTCCCTTCTCACTGTCACTTCCACCCAGGTCTGCTGGTCAGAGAGCTTCAGAGCAGAACCATGCTGGCCTGTAGTGGGGGGTCAGGAGTGTCCCCTTGGAGCCTCCCCACTTCCACTCAACCCACCAGCTCTCCAGACACCTGATTTCGGTGTCCACAAACCAATGCTCCAAGTCATGCCTTCAGTCCAGGCATTATTCCCAGATTCCAGCCCCATAGTCTGTTTGGCACTCCTCCAGCATGTTTGATAGTCTAACTGTGTGTGCACAAGCCTCACCCCCACGTCTCCCTAAAGACCCATCACTCCAGCTCCACTGGGCTCGGCTTGCCTGCACACCCCTTGTGTCCATGAGGTCCCCATGTATCACCTGGACTCTCCCTCACAGAGCTCACAGCCCCACACTCCCCTCCAGGCTCATCAGAGTCAGCTCTGCCCCATCTCTGGCCTCCCACCTCTGCCCCCTCCCCAAGAGCACACAACTTGCCCACTCCAAGATTGGGCCCAGATACCACCTTTCAACAAAGCTGTGAATGCATTTCTCCAACGTTCTATTTGAAATATTTAACCTACAGAAATTGTGAAAGTAATAAACTGTACCACCCTTCACCAATTGTCAACATTTTGTCCTGTGTTTCGGTCTGCTGTCTCCTTGCTTGTGCAGCTCCCACTTGCGGGGCTGGCCCCCTCTGGGGACTGTGCTGCCCAAACTCTGATTTCCCAGCGGGGCCAACTGCGTGGTGAGGGGCACAGGCAGCATGCCAAGAGCCCCCACCCAGCTGGCTTCCTGGCTGTGACCCACCAGTCAGGCCTGGTATGTGGCGACCCTGACCACTGGCCCTTCGTGGAGGAGGTCTTCCTCTGCCACCGGGCATTCCAAAGGTGACCCAGCACCTCCCGCCAGCCCCTGAGGACAACACGGGACGGGGGCACATTCCTGCAGCCTCACATCAGCCTGTGCCCCAGCCAGCAGAGAAAACTGCTTCCCCCAGCCCTGCTGCAGGAAGGGCCAGCAGGCAGCCTGGGGCCACCTGGGATCTCCCTGGCCTGCTTCACTACCTGGGCTGTTTAGTGCAAAGTGACTAAAAAATGTCAAGTGAACCTTCCAGCTCCTCCCCACCTGGCAATGCTGTCTGTTCCGTCCACCAAGGCTGGTGTCTGCCACCCCGGAGTCTGCCAGCCAGCGCTGCTCCCGGGCCCCTCCTCCAGGAAGCCTTCCTGGGTCTCTGCTGTAGCCTGTTCCAGCCTGACACTAGGGAGCCTGGCATGTGAGCACCACCCAACTGCTGCCCCTTCTCAGTCCCACTGCTTCTCTGGAAGGAGCGGTGGCCAGGCCTCAGGAGGTTTCCAGGGAGCTGGGGCTGCAGCCAGATGCACATGTGCGCTCTCCTGCCTCCGAGGCTACAGGACTGGAGTCATCAGGACGGGTGGGGAGCTAGGAGCTGGGAAATGGCGGGTGTGGGGGTGTGACCCCACTTCCCAGATGCTGCTGAGCCAGGGGTGGTTTCCTGTTATTCTCTCCTCATGGCCTCCTCCCTTCCCAAAGGCAGGATAAGGAAGTTGCCCCGTTCTGGGGGTGTTAGAGCACCCCTCCCTGCAGCCCTCTGCAGTCTCCCTGAGTAGATGGGGAGCTGGCTCCAGCCATGGAAACGGATGGGAATGAGATGAGGCCATTCCATCTGATCCTGCCCGAGCTGCGCCCTGGGCTGACCCTGCCCCGGCTTGGGCCTGGGACCAATGCAGCCCAGGGACCCCACGAGGCACAGAGGCTTACCCTGCTGGCCTGCTCCTGAGCCAGGCGGGCAGACGGGGTGGGCAGGGGGGACAGTTCTGTGCCCAGATTCAGCCCTTCATCCTCATGGTTATCCCAGGTTGACAGGGGCACGGAGAGGGATTTTTATGTTGTTTTTTGTGGGGTTTTCTTTAAGTAGCTAAGTGAACACAAGGGGTTTATTGGTTGGACTGGACTCCAGTTCTTGGAGTTAACAGACTTTTGAGCATCTCAAAAACCATGTCTGAGTGAGAGATGGCCCACCACATTAAGGTAGCAGCTCAGGCATTAGGTGGAGGTTGCGTCCAGCATCAAGGAATTGGTTTTAGAGACGGGACCATGGATGACACCCAGGCTGGCTCCTCAGGCCTAGGACAACCAGTGACAACAGAACCTAAGACACCACCCTCAAAAGCTCACAAAACTGCCTGGCTGGTGTAGCTCAGTGGTTGAGCACTGAATTATGAACCAAGAGGTCACTAGTTCAATTCCCAGTCAAGGCACATGCCCAGGTTGTGGGCGCAGTCCCCAGTAGGGGATGTGCAGGAGGCAGCCGATCAGTAATTCTCTCTCATCATTGATGTTTCTATCTCTCTCTCCCTCTCCCTTTCTCTCTGAAATCAATACAAATATATTAGTAAAAAACAAAACAAACAAACAAACAAAAACCCTCACAAAACTGACAGGACCCAGGTGGTGCATGCAAGCCCCCAAGTTCAAGTTCCAGAGACAGAGGCCTCTCTCTGCCTTGTCCTGCGGTGATCGCAACTTCAGGTGGGCATGTACCTTCAGGTGAAGAACTTCAGATGGAGCTGTTTTTGGAGATAGGGTCTTTAAAGAGGTAATTAAAGTGAAACGAGGCCTCCTCTTATATGACTAATGTTCTTACAAGAGGAGGACATTAGAACAGACACACTCAGAGGGACGGCCATGTGGGGACATGGGAGGAGATGGCCCTCTAACACCGAGGACAGAGGCCTCCGGGGAACCAGCCTGGACTCGCAGCCTCAAGGCTGGGAGAGAAATGTCCGTGTAAGCCCCGCCTGTGGTATTTGTCACGAAGCCTGAGCTAGAGATCCGTTCCAGAATAGAGCCTCCCTTTGCACCTTCCCTCTCAGCGGGGGTGCCCTCTAACCATCTCTGGCTGGTGGGGTGTGTATTCCTGGGTGTTCTCCAGAGAAAACAGTACCAACTTGTGATCTATAGAGGAAGATGTGTTACAAAGAATTGGCTCATGCAGTGGTGTAGGCTCAGAAGTCCCGGGATCTGCCATCTTCAAGATTCAGGAGAGCCAGTGGCCTAAGTTCCCACTTGAGTCCAAGTCCAAGGACAGGAGAAGATCAAAGTCTAGACATCCTGTCCAGAATGTTTGAATCTAGAATGTTCTTCCCCAAACACAAATCTGCCCAGTGTCTCCCCTATCTGGTTGGTAGGGCTGCGCCCCACTCCCCACCACTTCTAGATGCTTTTACCATCTCATGAGAGGAGCACTGACCTTCAGGGTCCCTGCTGGGAGTAGAGGCCTGCATTCCTTGCTGCTCTCTGCAGCCATTAGGGCTGTTGTGAACCCCAAGTTCCACTGTTCCCCACCCAGATGCCCACCCATTTCTCTGAGCTCCTGAGGGCCTCTGCCAGAGAGGAGAGTGGGCTGCAGAGGACTGACATGGAAGCATGGAGGGGCCGGGGAGAGAGTGCACAGGCGTTCCATCACTACCAGCTCGGCCACTCACTGTGCCCGATCCTACCCATAGAAACCAGGTATGGCAGGACAGCACTGCCCCAACCCCAGGGACCTAGTCTCCCTCGGTGACCGCAAAGCCAGGATCACAGTCCTAAGTCCAGGACTGCTATTCCGTGGACCAAATTCTTTTGGGGAGGTGAGCTGTACGTCCCAGCTCTGGATCCAGATTGGAGTCGCCCTCCATGACTTCCTGGGACGAGGCTCCTCAGGGAGAGGGCTCTTCAAGACGCCAGTCTCCACTGAAGTGCAGCTCCCCTAGGGACAAGGCTCAGCCTGGAGGTGGGGTGCCTCGGGGGCAGGCTTGTCTAGGAAGGGGCTCACCTAGGGGCGGTGCTCAGACAGTCTGACCCCACACGGAAGAGGGACTCAGCTTACAGGAGGCATCTGACCTGATGCAGGCTGAGGTTAGGGGCAGGGTTCAGCCCGTCTTGGAGCTGTGGCAGAAAGGGGCCAGGTGCTGACTTGACACGCTCAGGGGAGGCCTGTATGGCAGTCATGCAAACTCAGAGACCTAAGGTAGCCACACAGGATGGTCTGAAATGAAACTTTAACTAACAGCAGTTATTGTGGGCAGTTACATCTTAATCTGGTATCTTCCCTGACAAGGTCAAGCTTTACCTTAAATGAGCTTATTGTCTTTTTGCATTTGTAACTTGTAACTTCCCTTTTTCTGGACCTCTCAGAGCACAACCGAATACCCTGGGCGCCAGGGCGGAGACCACAGATTCCTTCATTGTCATTGTTATCATGTTAATTGTTGACTGTTAACTACCCTGCACCCAAGTAAAAGAAGTATGTGTCTACCATTTCACTTTTTATCCAATCCCTTGGCTTCCTCTCGCCTCCCTAACCTATCACAATGGATTTCATGTAACCCACTTACATCTCCTCCTTTGATGTAACTAAAACAGGTGAAAAACCACCATTCTCTGGAGCAGTGGTCGGCAAACTCATTAGTCAACAGAGAGGCAAACTGAGGCTCGCGAGCTGCAGTTTGCGGAGCACTGCTCTGGAAAATTATCCCAATCCGTTGTGATTCTGCTTCCCGGCAATGGGTGACAGTTTGGCTCATATTAACTCACGAAAATTCTTTACAGGTTTGACTGTTCTTACGTTAACAGGGCTTGGTCCCCAGGGCAGCAAAGAGAGGGCTTCCAGCCAGGAGAGGTTGTCAGTACCTGAGCCGGGCCTGAGGGAAGGCAGCTGGTCACCGAAGTCTAGACCAAGGTGGTTCCTGGCAGACAGCTGCCGATTTCCCCACCTCCCCTGCCCACCTCTGCTCCTCACCAAAGCCACCTCATCAAAGTTCCCCTGAGCCACAGGCCAACCTTGGCTCTGAGTGTCGGGCCTGGACTGCTCTTCATTCTTACCACTCGTGTGCGTGGAGGGGCACGTCTGGCCTCTGCCTGGCACTGAGCTGCACCCGCTGTCTCAGGAGCTGCTCTCCAGGCTAGCCTAGAGCTTAGCTGTGTACCTGGAGGCAGTGATGGACATGCACACGTTTGCACACACCATAGGGATACATGTATGCATGTGCTTGTACACAGGACATGTGCACACAGGTCACATGCACATAAATACATACCTGTGCATACACACACATCACTCATACAGTTATAAACAAAAGTTAGATTTTTATTTGGAAGGCTGTGTCTGAATTAGGAAGGGGCTGCAGGGCAGAGAGGCCCTGGGCAGGAGCCCCTAAGCCCCTTCCCCCAACAGGGCCAACCCTGCAGCTCCTGGCCACCACCCTGTAGGTCCCAGCAGCAAGGCAGTTTGACGTCCCAGGGGAAGGGCCCAGCCGGCAGCGCGAAGCTTAGAGGGCGTGGCCGAATCCACGCCCATCTGTCTGGGCGGGGCCCCGGCAGGATGCAGGCCCGCCCCGCACTCGGGGAGGAGTATGGGCAGCTTAGGAGCTGGTGCCCAAAGGGCCAAGGAGGGAGGAGACGCAGCTGCGGGCTGCCTCGGTTTCCCCTACTGTAGGAAGAAGACTCGGAATTGCTTCCGTTCTGCAGGAAGCAGCATGTGGGCGGGGGCAGGGGGGGGTGTAAGGTGCTGGGAAAGGAGTCCCATTGGCTGCTGCAGGGAGTGGGGACAGCACTGTACCCCGAACGCCCATGGGGTCATATCTGGGCTGCTGCCAGGGAGCAGGGAGAAGGCTGGGCCCTCTGTTCAGAGACCTTGTCCTGAGGCGCTGGCCGGGCCCAGGGAAGCTGAGGGAAGGACTGGGCACCTGGGCCAGAGAGGCTCAAGGTGGCTCTGTAGGGGGCGATGGGGGCGGGGCAGTGCCCTAGCCACAGTCCAGCACACTCCTCAGGGTTTACGGACCAGAGCTGGGAGAGAGGGCTCCGGTGGGCAGGGGTAGTGATACGAGCAGAGGGTGCCCTTCCCAGGGGAGAGGACGGCCAGCCGAGGAGGAGCAGGAGGAGGAGACGGCAGGTGATGCTCTGTGTCCAGCGCGGCCGGTACCCAGCTTCATCCCAGAGTCCCCAGCCGAGGCGATGCCGGCGGAGGGAGGGCCGAGCCCCGGGCCGGGGCCTCAGATCCAGACGGTGGTCTTGCCCTCCCGGCTGCTGGCACTGCCTTTCTCGGAGCCCGCCCTGAGTTTGGCGCCGGGCCGGCCCTGGTCCCCGCCCGTGCCCCCCGACGTGGCGCTGCCCGAGCCGGAAGCCGAGGCGCCGGCCCGCGGGGGCCCCCGGGCGGCGGGGAGGCCGGGGCAGGGCGGGCGGTCGGGGTCCCGCAGGGCGGGCAGCGCGGGGCCGCGCAGGGCGGGGCCGGGGGCGCGCACCACCAGGCTGTAGTCGGGCGGGAAGGCCAGGCCGGCGGCGGCGGGCGGCGGGCCGGGCGGCGGGCGGCGCGCGGGGCCGGGGCCGGGCGGCGCGGGGCGGCGGGCGCGCACGGCGTCCTTGGCGCTGCCCAGGCCCAGGTGCGCCATCTCGCACAGGTTGAGCAGCAGGCACAGGCAGCTGACCACGTACATGACCAGCAGGAAGACCGTCTTCTCCGTGGGCCGCGACACGAAGCAGTCGACCACGTGCGGGCAGGGCCGGCGGCTGCAGGGGAAGAAGGGCGGCACCTCGAAGCCGTACAGCAGGTACTGGCCCACCAGGAAGGCCACCTCGAAGGCGGCCCGCGCCACCAGCTGCGCCACGTACACGCGCATCAGGCCCTCGCGCTGGATGCGCCGCCGCCCGTCGTGCGGCCCGTGGGCGCCCGGGGCCCCCGCCGCCTGGGCGTCCCCGCCGCCGAGGCCCTTGGCCGCGCTCGCCGCCTCCGCCGGGTCCTCCGCGCCCAGGCCGTCGGCCGGCCCCGGCTCCTCGTCGTCCTCGCCCAGGCTCAGCATGGGCTCCTCCTCGCCCAGGTCCCCGGGCTCGGGCCAGGCGGGGTGGGCGGGCGCGGGCGGCGGCGGGGGCGCGCGGCGGCGCTCGCGCGTGGCGGCGCGGGCCAGGCGGTGCACGGCGTAGCCCAGGTACATGACGGAGGGCGTGGAGATGACCACGATCTGGAAGACCCAGAAGCGCACGTGGGACAGGGGCGCGAAGGCGTCGTAGCAGACGTTGTCGCAGCCCGGCTGCTTGGTGTTGCAGGTGAACTTGGTCTGCTCGTCCGAGTAGATGGCCTCGCCGCCCACGGCCGTGAGCACGATGCGGAAGACCACCAGCACCGTGAGCCACACCTTGCCCACGAACGTGGAGTGGTGGTGGATCTCCTCCAGCAGCCGCGTCAGGAAGCTCCAGCTCATGTTGGTCATAGGGGCGCGGGGCGGGACCTGCGGCCACAGCAGAGCTCAGCCAGGGGCGGGAGAGAGGGGGCGGAAGGGGATGTGGGGCTGGGGGTTGGCAGGACCTGAGGACCAAAAGGGGAGCTCCACCCTGGGAGGGGACTAGAGCTAACCCCATGGCCCGGAGGAGCACAGGGGCAGGAGTCCAGGGCCCCTGAGGGGACTCAGCTGCCTTCCGCTGCAGGAACAGCCTCTCCAGGAACCCCGCTCCCACCCCTGGCCCCTGGCCCCTGGCCCCTGCCCCTGGGGTGTGTACAGAGAGGTGGGGCCTGAGTTGACAAAGGAGAGACCCCATGCTGATGGACAACAGGCTGTGCTGCTCCGTGGACCACTCACCCCTGCTGACCCAGGTCCCAGTGGCTTCCAGTGCAGCCAGCCCCTCCTGTGCTCCCCAGGAAAGCTTGGTTCTGTGCAAGCCTCTCCCATCCCTCACCTCTGGGAACCCCACCCTAGGCCCTGAGAGCCACGGGGAGTCAACTGGGTGAGCCAGCTTCATGGGGTCGCCTAGAAACCAGAGGCCAGCCTCACTCAGTGTGGGGACTGCACAGAACCAAGCGTGGCCCCCACCCCACTCAGCCCCCAGCAGCACCTCGCTGCATGAAGTCCTGTTCCCAACACCCACCTTCCCACAGCCACGGCCAGTACCTGCTCCCATCGCCCACCTTCCCACACCACGGCCAGTACCCGCTCCCAATATCCACCTTCCCACAGCCACGGCCAGTACCCACTCCATCGCCTACCTTCCCACAGACATGGCCAGTACCTGCTCCATCGCCCACCTTCCCACAGCCATGGCCAGTACTTGCTCCCAACACCCACCTTCTCACAGCCAAGGCCAGTACCCGCTCCCATCGCCCACCTTCCCACAGCCAAGGCCAGTACCCGCTCCCATCGCCCACCTTCCCACAGCCGAGGCCGGTACCTGCTCCTGGGTAGTCTGGGAAAGGAGACCCTGAGTGCCCGGCTCTCCTGGCCCTCCCTCCTGAGCAGGCCTGGAGGCAGTGTGGGCAGGTGTGGGATGGAGAGGCAGAGACAAGCTGGGCTCCGGGCCTCTTTATGCAGCTGGCCTCTCCCTGGCGGGAGGTGGGGAGGAAGAGAGGGTAGTCAGGGTTCCTGGGGAAATGACCCCACTTCCTTACATCTGTGTGCATGGCCCACCTCAGAGCTACACGTATGCAATGCAAACCCAGACACACACTCACGTTCACTCAGACACACATGCATACAGGTGTACAACCATACTCATAACATGCACACTCACGTGAGTACACAAATAAAAAATACCCCGTGTACATACAGTTAACCTTACACACATGCAAACACTCAGACATGTGCATACAGATGTACAATGAACTCACAGATATGCACACTCAAGTGTGCACACACTTATAAACACCCATGCACACAGTCATCACACACATACAAATACTCAGACACATGCATATGTAGATATGCACGCTCCCATGTGCACATATACTCAGGTACAGGCTGGTGCAGGCCAGTCCCTTCAGGGCCGCCTTCTCCCTCACTCTGCCGCAGCCAGGGGCTCACAGAGTACCCCTCAGGCCTGAGACTGGCTGCTCTTCCAGGACCTGTTCCACCCTCGCCTGACACACCACAGGAGGCTAAGGCCACACCACCTCCCAGGAACCAGGGGGGGAAGGCAGAGCAGCCCCCCACTTCTTTCCTCTCGCCCAAGACACGGGGAAGGGGGGAGTCTCAGGGTGCAGGCAGATCTGACTTGTGCTTTGGGGGTCAGTATTAACAACTGGTTCTCGGGGGGAAGCCTTCATGCCTCATTTGGCAATCTCTGTGGTGGAAGTACTCCCCTCACACCCATGACCTGTGGCGGGGGATCTAGAGACCAGCTCCAGCTTGGCATGGGTCAGACCCCGCCCTGGGGGGTGAGGGATGATGCAGTCAGGGCCACGGAGACCAGATGCAGAGAGAAGAGGGCAGGTGACAGTGGTCAGTCGCAGGGCCATCCTGAGCAGTGGAAGGGGAAGGAGCAAACCTCTCTGTTCCCCCAGCGTCACGGGGATCTCAGACAGCCTTCGGGCAGGGGCAGAAACTCTGGCTCTTCAGACCAGATGCACGTCCATGTGCTCATACATGTGTGTGGAGGACCTGTGTCACACATGCAGTCAAGGTGGTCATTCCGCAGTCAGGGGCTGGCAATGCTCAGCTCTAGCCTGGAAGACCTTTGCCCTGGTCTTAGTGACATGCACAGGAGTCCTCAAACCCACACCTTCCGCTGGTGCTGCCTCCTGCCCTGGCACATGGATCTGGAGGACCAGTCCCAGCACTTTAGGATTCTCCTGGAGCATCTGGTGGTGCCAGAGTAAGGAAGTGCTAGCACATGTCCCCCCTCCATACACACACACACACACACACACACACACACACTGCTGAGGGGTACGGCAAAGCGATACAGTAATTTATGGAAGGAGCTCCCCATGGGTGTCTCTAACTAGATCAACTTGGCCAATAGAGTGGATAAAGGAGTAATATAGGCTGAGTTATAGATTATTACCAAAGTATAAAATGAACGAGTCCCTACTGATACAAATTACTGAATGAATAAATGGGGAAAAGGGAATTCTAAATAGTTTTTGCAGCCACTGTGCCCTCCGGGGTGGGGTGGGGGGGTGTCTAACCCCATTCCTCAAGGGCAGCTGCCCAGAGTGCACAACAGGGAGGGAGAGCAGAGCCTGCAAATGTGACTGCGGGTGGGACCAGAACCCACCTGCAGTGAAAGGTGAGGATGAGAGCATGGGCCTTGCAATGGTGTGAGAAGGGTGGCCCTCGCTGCCTCCCCCCAAAACCTCAGCCCAGGCGACCAGGAGACAAGTTCCAGGAGGGGCTTTTTCATCGAGACAGCCAAGGGCATCGGGCAAGGGGCTCTGAGGGACTAAGGGATCTGAGATATGCATGCCCAGTGGGGCCCAGAAGACAGAGAAGTGAGGACCACATGCGTCATGGGGGAAACCGGGGACATCAAAGGTCATGGGAGCCCTAGTCGGTTTGGCTCAGTGGATAGAGTGTTGGCCTGCGGACCAAAGGGTCCTGGTTCGATTCCAGTCAGGTCAAGGTCATGTACCTTGGTTGCAGGCTTCTCCCCAGCCCAGGCCCAGTAGGGGCTCATGCTGGAGGCAACCAATCAATGTGTTTCTCTTACATCGATATTTATCTTTCTCTTCCACTCTTCCTTGAAAAAAAAATCTATGGATAAATATCCTCAGATAAGGATTAACCAATAATGATGATGATGATGATGATGTCATGGGAGCCCTAACTGGTTTGGCTCAGTGGATAGAGCATCAGCCTGTGGACTGAAGGGTCCCATGTTTGATTCCAGTCAGGGTTTGCGGACACATCCCCAGTAGGTGTGCAGGAGGCAGCTGATCAATGTTTCTCTTTCTTCAATATTTCTAGCTCTCTATCCCTCTCCCTTCTTCTCTGTAAAAAATCAATAAAATATATTAAAAAGAAAAGGTCATGGGAAACATGGGAAAGCACTGGTGTGGCAAAATAGTGTTTGCCTGTGCACTGAAGGGTCACAGGTTTGATTCCTGGCCAAAGGCACATAACTGGGTTACAGGTTCGAGACCCCAGTCTAGTCTAGACTTGTGTGGGAAGTGACTGACCAATCAATGTGTCTTTGTCACATTGATGTTTCTCTCTCCCTCCCTCCCCCCTTCCCTCCTTCTATCCTTGTCTTCCCCTCTCTCTAAAAAAAAAAAAAAAAAAAAATCAATGGAAAAAATATCCATAGGTGAGGATTAACAACATATATATATATATATATATATATATATATATATATGTCATAGGGAACATGGGGAATCTGAGGGACGTGTGGGCTATAGTTTTGATTGTCCCATGGGAGATGGGCACATGGTCTTCTCACCTCTACTTCTCTATGAACCACAGTGCTGTAAAATAAAGACCTTAATTGAAATAGTTACTGCCTATCACTCTGAGCGACAGCCCCATCTTCTCTCCCTGCCTGGCACACATCTGTCTGCCTGGAGGCTCAGGTTTGGGGGATGGACTTGGCTGGTGACCTGTTTTGGGCTGCAGTGGGGCAATCAGTGCTGCTGGGCAGCTGCGGCCAGCAAGGGCTCAGCTGGGCCAGCGGGAAGGGGGTTGCTGCCCCTTCAGGGATCCAGACTCTGGGGGCTTGCAGGGACTTTTGTTCACAGGGAATCTCACGCAAACTTCATCAGTGCAAGTGTAGATAAGAGCTGCTCAGAGATCCAGGATGAGGGTTATTTTATTTTTTTTTTTTGGGGGGGGGGATGGGAGGGAGGAGTAAAAAACCCTGGGTCTGGGAGGTGGCAGATCTTGAACAGCCAGCAAGGGTGTTGGGAGCGATGACTGCTGGGCCAGCGTGAGCACAAACAGCGGTTCCCTGTGACAGCTGGCTGGTCATCCCTACCAAGAGGCTGGAGGGAGGTGCTGATGGTGGGCTTCAGGACGGCCTGTCTTGAGACAGCTGGCTTGCTTCCCCCAGTCCAGACCTGGAGAGTGGCCTCTGCAGGGTGGGCAGCTGGGCTCTCTCTGCTTCAAGTACCACTGCTGCGCCCCCCCCCCCCCCCCCCCGCCCCCGGTCTGCACAAAGGTTCAGGAGGTGGGGGTGGGAGGCAGGGCTGAGAGCCAGGGACAGCCTAGCGCCATCCTGCAGTGCAGCAGGCCATGGCCTGGCCAGCAATTTCCTTCCCATTTCTGACCACACTTCCTCCCAGCACCCCTTAGGGCCACGTGGGTGGGACTTTCCTCTGGCGAGGTGGGGCTGGGGGCAGGGCCTCAGCGCTCGGCTCGCCATGAGGCAGGGGAGCTCCGGCCTTGGAACCTCGGGCAGTGGAATGAGGAGTCTCAGGCAGCGCTTTGCCTCCATGCGGACATAGGGACCTTGCATGCACCTGCCACCGACAGCCTTCATCCACAGGTGAGCACCATGAATACTTCCAGATGGCTCTGCCCTGGAGCCCAGAGCCGGCTCCCACCCGTCCACCCCCTGAGGGGACCTGGGGGGCACAGGCCTGGTGCTGCACGCCCACCTCCTAACCTTAGCTCTTCTCCCAGGTCTCCCCTTGTCAGCTCTGTGGTGATCCCTTGGGGTTTAGTCTTTCCAGGTCCCTCCCCGGGACACTTAATTCCCATCCTGGAGGTCCCAGTTGTTTTGCCTAGATTTCCTGGCCAGCCAGGACCCAAAACCCTGGCTTGGGGACCCTGTATAACTGCACAGCAGCTCCTATGCACATCAGTCTACCCCCAACACCCATCCCACCTCCACAGCCCAAGGAGGTTTAAGGCCCTGACAGAGTGGGCCCCAGGGAGCCTGGGATCTCAGCCAAAGCCCTCATCCTCCCAGGGCCTTCTGGGCTGGCCTCGTCCAGGTATGGGCTCTGCCTCACACGTGTGCTCACCCACACGCACTGCCACTCCCTCTACACCAGGTAACTCAGCAAATGCAGGGAGGTGAGGAGACACCTCGTTCTGGGAAGGGTGCGTGCATCCCAGGGCCACACGATGCAGGTAGCTGGGATTCGAGGAACCCGAGGGGGCAGAGATCCCATTGAGGACTCAGGAGCCTCTCAGCTGCAGCTGGAACTGGGAAGTGAGGGAGCTCCTCCGGAGAGGGTTGAGGTGTGGTGGGCATGGGCCTGGGGAGCAAGTCACGGTGGCACTGCCCAAACAGCTCCAACGGCCGGCCTCTGCCCCCTCTGGAGCTCCCCATGCACTGCTGGCCCAGGGTAGGATGCAGAGCCCCTTGCCCACTCCTGCAGAGTGCCCACACTCTCCAATCCTCCCAACCCCCTCACCCCTCCTCTCAAACTGCCCTGGGTAGAGCCACCGCAGCCAGCACACGGCCACCTTTCTCAACGCAGAACACGGGTCACTTTTTCTCTGCACTCCCAGGCCCCTGCCATGTCCACCTAGTCCCCACAGCCCAGCACACCACAGGCCCTGCCCTGGGCAGCAGCCTGACCACTCCTGGACCAGCTGCTGCCCCTTGCCAAGCCCTCTGCCAACTCCTGCTCACCACCCTTGCTCTGGCAAAGGCAACTCGCCATTTCTGTGGCACATTGGGGACCCTCCTGGAAGAACTGGGACCCACAGTAACTTAAGGGAAATCTGTCCCAGGCCATGAAGAAGCTGGCTGGCGCCAGGCCAGGTATGGAGGGCGGGGAGGTGTACCCATCCTGGCTTGACTGCCCACATGTAGGGGTGGGGCTCCCAGATTTCCCCCCGGCCCAAATAGCTGCCTGCCTGGGCTGGTCAGTCCCGCACAGCATGAGTTCCCAGCTGCTGGGGGAAGTTCTGGGCACACACCCCTTCTCTCCCCGCTGACCAGCTGGCCTGAGCAGCCTTCCCCTTCAGGTCTTGCGATCCCAGAAGACCCTGCTGGTCAGGACCCACCTGTGAACACTGGGCTTCAGACAGATCCCCCAGAATGGACACCTAGCTGGGCCCATTTCTCCTGGGGAAAGGCCATTTCGAGAGGCTAGAACAGGCCTGAAACCCTGGTCCAGAGGGGAGGGTGACCCTGCTCAGCCCCAAGGGCACCCCACAGCTGGTCCCCCAGACAGCACCCTACCTTTTTCAGGCCACAAAATGCAAGTCCCTCTGAGCCCTTCCACCTGCCGGCTGGTCAGACACTGGCCTCCAAGGGTGTACACCCGGCAGAATCCCAGCTCGATCCAGGGCCACCTCTCACCACCAAGCACAATGCAGGGGGGAGGGCCTTCAAGGGCCCCATTGTTCCCCCGAAGGCCTGGGGTCTGAATCCCTGATTGTCCCTAGAACTGTATGGGGCCAAGAGAAGGAAGGGCCTCCCCGAGGCTGGGCGACAGTGCTCCGGGAGGCAGCCAGCCTTACCTTACCTGCCCAGCACCCCTCTGCCCACTGTCCCGTGCCCAATGCCAGGCCTCCTCTGTGCATCTGAGAGTATGGACAACGCCCAGCCTCCCCCCCCTCCAGCTCTGTCCACTGCTTGTCTTGGTCCCACTGCAGGAGTATGGCCTGGGCATGGATCACTATACCACAGGCCACCACAGCTACCCTGACCCAAGACGAGTGGCAAAGGTGTCTTCTCAGCCTCCAGGGTGCCTGTATCCCCAACAGAGCCCCCCAGATCTCCTTCCAGAGCTGGCCTCTCCCAGACCATCAGACCAACTGGACTCAATAGGTCAGTAGGCGGTGCATACGCCTGATGGAGTGTCTGACAGAGGCCTCCAGGGGACAGAGATCCAGCCCCTGTATTCTCAGCCTCATCACCACCCTCACCTGGTTCAGGGACCGAGTGGGGCAGCTGGGCAGGACGAGCCCCCGGGGCCTTCTCCTCCCAGCCTCATTGTCTTGGGGAGTCAGTGGGAGAGGTGTGTGCTGCGTCAGCATCATCCTTCCTGCCTCGGGGCAGAAAGCAGCCCAGCCTTGGGGGACCCCCTAGTGCCCTTGGGCAGGGCACCCCTGCTGGTCTCCGGGGTGCGGAGCTGGGCATGTGGAGAGCCTGGGGAAGTAGTGTCCCATCGGGGAGCAGCCCCACTGGCCCATACCCAGAGTAGCCGATATGAGGTAGAACCTGCTGCCAGCAGCCCTCTTAGGCCTGGCTGTTTAGGAGGGGGCTGCCGGAGTGGGGGTCCAGCATGAAGGATGCAGGGCCATGGCGGCAATCATGGACTCAAGGACACTCTAACTAGCAGCTCTTTATTAGGATGCAGGCCCAGGTCCCACAGGAGAGTGGGACTGATCAGGGGCACCCAGAAGAAGGCTGCAGAGCCAACCTTGTCAGGGGCACCCTGGCCACTGGGGTGGGATCAGGGTCCTGTCCAGGGAGGACACAGCGTGGGCATCCTCAGGAGCAGCCAGTCCCTTGGGCCTTCTTGATTTCCTGCAGGAGAGAAAGAGGAGCTTGCCCTGGAGCCCAAGTCCGCTGTCCCAAGCCCTTTACTGCAGCGACAGAGATCCAACCCTGCCCCCCGCAGACCCACCTCCGAGAGTGCCTCCTTCAGGCTCCAGTAGGCCTTGTCCAGGTTGTCGTTGACAATGATCAGGTCAAACAGACCGGGCTCCTTGCCTGAGATGGGGGGGAGGGAGGATACAGGGATGGGGGAGGGTCAGAGAGGGGAGGGGCTGTGGGCCTGCCTCCCACCTCCCGCAGATGAGTTGTCTCAATTGGGGAGGGTGGGGGACACTGGCTGCACCCACACTCACTGCTTTCCATGTCGGCCTGGGCAGCGACCAACCGCTTGGCCAGGGTCTCCTCTGTCTCCGTGTTCCGCTGCCGCAACCTCTGTTCCTGAGGTGCCTAAGGAGGGTCAGAGCCTGCAGGGCCGCCTCAGCCCCTCCTCCACCCCTCCCGGGCCTGGCTCCCCACCCCCACCAGGACTTCCAGCGAGGGTGGCTGCACAAAGATGTAGATGGGCCGCAGGTCGGTCTTCTTTAAGTTCCGCACGCCCTGGAGGTCCACATCCAGCACGCAGATCCGGTTCATGGCCTGCACCACTCGCACAGCAGCTTTGCTAGGGAGGCAGAAGGGGGCCATTCAGCAGGGACCCAGACCATCTCCACTGCCATCCCCTGGGGTTCTGCCTCCCCATTCCCTGTCTGGGAGCCTGCAGGGGCCACCCTGACTCCAGCATCTGCTCCCCTTTCCGGAAGCACTACCTCAGGAACCCTGTCACACTGGGCCACCTGCTAGGCTGGGGGCAGCAGTGGGAGGGGCAGGAAGGCCCTGGCGTCATCACTGGGCTCAGGGCTCCTGGGTGCCCACCATCTAAGGGTAATAGCAGCCCCAGTGTGACCCCCTTCGGGGGCCAACTGCCCCCAGCAGCTGCACCTGGGGTGGAGCATGACGGTCACAGGGGGCTCAGGTACAGGCTGCGCATAGCAAGCCTGGACCCGCCTGGGCAATGCTGCTGCTCTGGGTGTGTGGGAGGCAGGCAGCTGTTGCTGGGCTGGGGACTCCCCCAGGCTGCCCTAATTGCTGAGGGAAGAGGGGGGCTGAAGGGCAGCCCACAGACCTCTGAGTCTTCACTGCACACCAGCCCATCACTTGGCTACCCGCTCCCACAGGGGCCTGGCCAGCTGGGGCGGGGAGGGGACAGAGGGGGGTGGCCTGGATAGCTCAGGCTTCTCTTCCATCTTGATCCCTGGATCAAGCCCTGGCCAGGGCTGCCCCTTTAGGTCCCCAGCGGGTTGGAGGTTGCTGAATGTGACTCACCTAGTCCCGTACAGGTTCCCCGAGAACTCAGCGTGCTCGATGAAGTCCCCGGCAGCAATGTCCCGCTGCATCACCTCCCTGGTCACAAAGTAGTAATCTACAAGAGCAGGAGCTGGTGGAGCTGTCCGCAGCCAGGCCACAACTGCCCAAGCAATCACACGGGCAGAACCAGCTGTCTGGGCCGGTCTGCCCTCCGTCCACCCACACCTGGAGTGCTCCAGCCACTGGGCAGGGAGATATCCGAGGAAGGGACAGACACCACCTCTCACACCGTCCTCACTGAGGGGCCTGGTGACTACCAACTCAGTAGGGGAGCTTGGGGGAACTTCAGTGCTCTGCCTCAGGAAGATACAAACACCCTACCAAGGCTGTGATGTCAGAGAGCCCTGAAGGGTGTGCATGGCTGATCCCAGCTATACTGCCATGTGCAATGAAGTGGTACCCAGCCACTGCCTGGTGTTAGGGTCAGAGCCCCGCCGTGGACAGCTGGTGTCGGCATGAGATTTAATGCCTGTTATCCAACTAGGCCTGCCCACCCACCCATCAGATGGGGAAATGAGGCCTCATGTGTCACCCTGACAAGTGTGTGTGTGAGAGTGTGTGTAGAGGGGGCGCCCCCAGACCTGCACCGGGGCTCTGAGTAGCAGGGCCAGCTTACCTTTGCCATTCTCCTCTCCGGGCCTCGGGTCCCTCGTGGTGTCTAGGAACAAGCATCTGTGACCCGTCTGGAACACCCGGAGCCCACACATCCCATCCCAGGCCTTCCTGAAGGGCCCGGTGCAGCCCGTGTAAGGGACTTCAGGGGCGTCAGCAGTATGGGCACATCCCATGTGAAAGAGGGGTGTTAGCAGTGTGGGCAAGTCCCCATATTTGTGGATCACAGGGCCCCCCAAGACCTAGGACCTCACGGGACACGCTGAATCCGAAGATGCTGCTGTGCTCCTGCAGAAGTCTCTTGAGCAGGGTGCTCTTTCCGGCCCCAGAAGGCCCACTCAGGACAACGGGCCTTGGTCCTGACATCCCTGTGGGTGAGGGAGCACACATCAGCAGGCCTGAGGGACCCCAGTGAGTGGGATAGCTGCAGTCACAACCCCTCTCCCCCAACTCTCCCCAGGAATCTGAGCTGAGGGCCACACTCAAATCTTGGCTGCACCTCCTTCCTCGATGGGTGGGCTACCAGGTGCCACAAACACATGACCTCCCCAGCTGTGCCCTCCCCCCTGTGGAGCCTGGACTTCTGCTCCTGGGAGAGGCACATCTGGGTCCCCGCCCCGCATTTCCGAGGCGCCATGCCCTAGAGGTGGCCGAGGTTAATAAGCCCTGTTCTGGGAACTTCCATCCGGAAGTGAGGGGCTGATCCAGAGGACCACAGCCTCCTGGCCTCCCCTCCTCTCTGATACCCACCCTCCCAGCCAACAGCTCAGGCTCAGACACCTGCCACAGATGGGAGTGAGTGAGGCAGGGGTTTAGGAAAGCATCAACCCTGACAGCTCTGCGCCCGCCTGACACCTCACACCCCTCCCCAGAACAGGACCTACTTCCTGGGTGGGCGAGGCCCTCTCTGTCAGCCTGGGCTGCTCCGATTAAGCCGGGAGGAGTGGGTAATCCCAGCCTGCTCTGACCTCTCAGCACTGAACTCCTCCCAAGGCGATCAGCCCCGCCCACTCGGCGCCTTTGGGGAGAGGAGGCTGCTTCCGGCCCTTCAGTAGTGGCTACCCACCCAGCCACGTGAGCCTGAAGGCAGAACGCCAGGAGCGAGTGTGCCCTGCCTCAGAGGGAAACCCCGACAGGCATGTGGGAGCTGGAACGGCTCCCTCGGCAGGCCTGGCCCTGCTGGCTGTCTGGGGGCCCTCTGATAAGGCGTGGAACCTCCATGGTGCAATCAGTGGTCAGCAGAGCGGCAATCAGGCCCAGGAGGGAAGGCCACCTGGCTCAGCGACGCCCTGTTGCCCATCTCCAGCAGGGCCCCCACCGGGCACTGCTTTCCTAATCCACAATGTAGGCCAGCCCGGTAATCTGGCGTAAGCACTGCTATTCTGGGCAATCACACCACACACATTACAAAAAGCACCCTGTTTCTATCTAGAGAAAATCCCAGCGGACTCCTGGCTTCTCACTGGCATCCCCGCATTCCCCCCAAATACATGCCACCTACACAGCTGCACACATGTGTGCTGGCTCTAAGCACGTGGCCATTAGCAAAGTGCAGCCCTGGCTCTCCCTGGAGGCCTGGTGCACAAGAGGTCTCTCCCTCATGGCAACCTTCACAAAGCCCTGTCCTGTTCAGGAAGGATGTCCCAGTGGCAGCCCGGCCTACTCCCTGGATCTGTCCTGACTTCCTAGGTACTGGGTGACTGGGGAGGGGAGTGGAGGGAGACACCTAGCAAGGCAGTGGAGCGGCTGGGTGCCACCAGGTCCCGTGAGGGACTGAGGGCTGGGGTCTGACGTCCACACTGCCCAGCCTCTCCGGCGGGCAGCTGAGGTTGTCAGTGTCCTAAACTCCTGGACCTGCGGCTGTTTGGTGCTACAGGAACATTAGGAGCAGCCCCAAGTGGACACATGGTGATGGCCACAGCGATGGACCAGGAGGCCTGCTGGAGCCTTGATCAACCCAGTGGGCACTCATCCCCAGCACCCAATTTGGGGAGTCTACCTCCAGGGAGAGGAGGACCCGAAGGCACCCTTACCCTCCTGTTAGGGACTTGGGAGGTGCCCCTTAGGGGGGTTGGGAGCACAGAGAAGGAGGGAGGCCCACTGTCTGTTTGCACAGAAGCACCTCAGGGACGCTCTGCTTTCTGTCATGTGTCTGCCATGGGGGAGTGCTGGCTCATACCCCCACAATCCCGAGGGGCACCCTCCAGCCTCCAACAGCAACCTGGTCAGCAAGACCCGGGGCTTTCTCCAACATGCTTCCCCACGCCTCCTGACAGTTCTGACACCTGGAGACTGCAAACCTGCACAGGACTAGCCTGGACCAAACATCACACACCGAGTCCCAGTGCTGACACCCCACAGGGCATGTGGCACACGACCTGCTTATCACTCACATCCAAACGCTGGTTTCTATTGGGCGCCCTCCACCCTGTGGTGGGACACTGGGTAAGGGAGCCTGTTCTACTGAGCAGCACTCCCAGGCTCACCACCTACCTGCACTGGGCCAGCAGTCAGCAGGGGGTGCGTCCGCACAGGACTGGCTCGCAGCTGCAAAGCTCACCCTCTGCCTGGCTGAATCACTGCAACCCTCAGCCTCTCCTGAGCCCCCACCGACATCAAGCCCAAGTGCCATGTGCCCAGTGCAGCCACTACCTGTCCCACTCTGTAGTCTGTCTCATGGTGGTGGAGTCCAGCCTGCTCAGCCTGGCTAAGGGCAGGTGTGCTGAGTCTTACCCCGAGAGGCCCACACAAACCACACAGGGATGGCCTGGCCTGCACCGGTGCCTGGACAGCCGCAGGGGACAGGGCTCTGTCCAGGAAACACGCAACAGAGCACTCAGTAAAGCAACCTTCCACAGAACACCCGGCACCGGACAGTGCTTTGGCCTTGAGTACCCGGAGATTGACTTTGGACCCAGGGCCTGCAGAACCAACCAACCGAAAAGAGTACCTCAGAGGAGTCATCTCCTAGGCAGAGCCCTCTAGCTGGGGTATTCTGTGTTCTCCATTTCTACACTATCCCACAATCCCAAACCTAGTGGCCTGGCAAGAAATGGCAAAGCTCAAGGACTGCACAAAAAACCCAGATGCAAGCATGTGCATTCCGGAATGCTCTCCGACAGCACCTGCCCGAGCAGCACCCAGTGCAGCCAGGCAGCCTTCTTCCAGAATCACAAGGGGATCCTCCTCTTTCCAGCTTCCACTTTCCTCCCGCTCTGTCCCAAGAGCAGGACACTGTCACCACCCCGCTTTCCTCCACTCCCCCACAAGACACCAGATAAGGCACGGCCTCTGAGAACATGAACCCTGCCAGCAACAAGCCATAAGACCGGACAGAATCTGGCTCAGGACAGCAGGCCACGTCCCACCCCCGAGAGACACATCCTGGCCAAACCGCTCAGCCGTTGGAAACTTGGGTTGCAATGGGGCAGCCACAAAGCGCCAGCCATTACTCCTTCCTTCTCCCCACAGCGGGGCGGGAACCATTCTCTCATAAAAGAAAGCTGGCCCCCCAAAACACAAGTAAGAGCCACAGTGTCCGTGCAGGACTTGGGCCTGTCGGTGCTGCATGGCATGTCAGGGTCTCTTTCCATAAAGGAGAAGAACCAGCATTCAGTCTTGTACCAAATCCCAATTCTGCATCACAGAGGGCAGAGGAGGCACAAGAGGGGAAGGGTCCCAGGCAAGCGAGTTACAAAGCAGGAAGGGCAGAGGCACCACAGAGTCAGCCTTGCTCTCAGAGTAGAAACCGAAACCCTCAAGTGCAGAGTCAGCTGGAACTGGGGGGTGTGGGGGGAGAGGCCTGGCACATAAGAGGTAGCAAGGACTTGGGGCCGACTACCAAAGTGCCTGCCCCCCTTCCAGTGCTCCCAGGGGCTCACCCTCATCACTGACTTTCACTGCTGGTGGGCTGGAGTCACCGCTTTCCACCCAAACACACCAAAACACCCTCTTCATTTCTGCTCTTCCGCAGATCGACTGAGCAGGTTTTTCAGGCCGTGGTGAACATGCTACAAAAACCTGAAGTTTACTGTCTAGGTGGCTGAATAGAAAAGTAGTGACTGTATCGCTATAACTCCCAGAATCTGCTACTCAAGAAAATAACTGAGCCCTGGCAGGTTTGGTTCAGTGGACAGAGCATCAGTCTGCAGACTGAAGGGTCCCGGGTTCGATTCTGGTCAAGGGCACAGGCCCAGGTTGCCAGCCAGATTCCCAGTAGGGAGCATGTAGGAGGCAGCCAATCAATGGCATTTCTATCTCTCTCCCTCTCTGAAATCAATAAAAAAAAATATTAAAAAAAAAATTGTAAACCTACTTGAAGGAGGAGGAGGAGGAGGAGGGGAAGAAGAATAGATAATAACTGATATCACCCGTCCCAGTCAAAGATCAAGGGCCAGATCTACGTGACCAGTATCTAAACAAAGTCCAAGCACACTGCACCTGTCACAGGTGTGGCCCTGACCTGTCCATAAGCGATTGTGGTGTTGCAGGCAGTTGCGTGGCATTCTATGAGCATTCATGGAGTGGAAACTCACATAGCAGGAAATTAAGCTTGTTAGTGGTAAGACAGGAAACCCCACCCCTCCCGGATCCCTCCTGAGTGGAGAGAGAGGTTTTCCTGCATTCTTCACAGCAAGTTATGATGGGGAAGATCTAAGAGTGACGGAAAGTCCAGAAAAGCCCGCAGGCATGCTGCCTGGGGGACTCACAAGAGGCCAAGTCCTGGTTCCCCTCTTTCTGTCCCTGTGGGCCCCACCTCTACTGGCCAGCTGTCACCTCAGCTCACTGCTTCCCTTTTCCCAAGTGGGAGACAACAGTGATAAGAGGTGAGGTGACCCCCTCATTACTCCTCCCCAGACCAGCACCTGGATGAACTAGATTCATTCCCTCTCTTTTCCCAAAAGCAAGTCTAAGAACAGCAGAGGGGCAGCTCCAGCAATCTGGACTTGGGACTGAGAGAAGCTGAACATCAAATTACCACATCCACAAGTCAGGCATGCCTGCCCCCAAGAACCTGCTCTCGGTGGTGTATCTGTATCTGCCCACAGTCCTGGGCCTTGGAAAAGGCCTGGGGGCCCCACAAGCTGGCAGGGACCATGGGGATGATGCCATACCAGGGTCCTCAGGCGCCACGTGATGGCCCCTGCTCTCCCAGGGTTTCCGGCTCTGCTGAGAGCCACCCTGGGGAGGAGTGTCAGACTGCTTCCCCTCTCTGCCCCTCCGCGTCCTTCATGAAGTCCCAGGCTGCAGGGGCCTCACCAGCTGCCTGGAGCTTTCCGCGCCAGAATCTCCTCCTACGTTCTGAGAACTGGCACAGGGGAACCGGCTGTTCATGTGTCTCCACCAAAAGCCAACTTGAACACCCAGACACACAGGACACAACTTCAAAAACGATCCTAAACGAAGTCAATTCACCTCCAGGAGAAACCGCAGGACCCAGTCCTCGGGCCCCCAATTCGCTCGCTAGGACCCGCGCCCAGCCAGCCCTGGGAACTGCTGAGGACCGGGTGGCGGTGGGAGTTCCGGCGGCTCCCCGCCCCCAGGCCCCTCACGCACCCGGGAGCACGCGGGCGGCCACGTCTTGGGCGCAAGGAGAGCGGGACGCCAGCGGCTCCTCCTGTGCGGTCCGCGGCGGCGCAGGAAGGAGCTCCGGGGCCCGCGCGCGCTCAGACGCCACTCACCGTGCGGGGGGGTGCGGCCCAGGGCGGCCGCCGCCAGCCCCGCCAGCCCCGCCAGCCTCGCCAGCGGGCGCCGCAGCATAAGGGGCCCCGGCGCCACCCTCCTTGACGCGCGTCGCCACGCCGCGCCCGCCCACTTCCGCTCGCGGGGCTACGTCAGCGCCGCGCCCCGAGGGCTGTGCGTCAGCGCCGCGCGACGGGGGCTCGCGCTGGCGGCGAGGCTGCTGCGCCGCGGCGGGGCCGGTGTGGGTGCCGCGTTGCGTGAGGGCGGCAGGTAGGTGCGGCGTCGTGCGGCGGGGACGGCTTCCCCACGGGAGGTTCGGATCCCGCCGCGTCCTCTGGGGCAGCTCACAGCGTTTGCGTTTCCCGCGGGGTCGCCGCCGACGGCAAGAGGCCCGCAGTGCCTGCGCTGACCGATAGGGGACAGCGAGACAGACCCGCACCTCTCGGCTCGGCCTTGGGGTCTGAATGCGACCTCAGCGCAGAGTAAGGGCTTAGTAAGGGTGACCCTTGGCCTCGGCTCCTGCCACGTGCCACAGTGGTCCTCACTTTGCTGAATTGTGAGAATTAAATGACCTTGGAGAACAAGGTGTGAGCCAACCAGTTTCTGTTGCACTCCATGCTCAGAGCAGCTTCCTGACTCTAACTCACCGGCATGGGCCCGGGCCCTGCCCAGACTTCTGGAGTCCGGCTTTTTGGGAGTAGGACCTGAGCATTGCTGCTGGTCACAAACCTTCCACGGGTGATTCTAATATCAGGTTAGGGCGAGAGCCTGGCAGTGACCTGGGAATCGCACACGGGTTTATAGATGGGCTGGGATTTGGCAAGAATCCATTATGTTGGAAAAGCCTGCTTGTTAGAAATACTTTTCTTGCCTGGCCGGCGTGGCTCCGTGGTTGAGCGTCGACCAATGAACCAGTTCGATTCCTGGTCAGGGTATATGCCTGGTTTGTGGGCTCGATCCCTAGTGGGGGGCGTGCAAGAGGCAGCCAATCAGTGATCATCTCTCATCATTGAAGTTTCTACCTCCTTCTCCCTCTCTCTTCCTCTCTGAAATCAATAAAAACATACTTTAAAAAATATTTTTCTTGTTCACCAGGTCACACACTGGGCCTTCACATGCCACAGTGACCCTCAGGAGGAATGGCAGTCGTGGGCAGCATGCTTGGGTAAGCACCAACTTCCAGACTTCTTGTGATTACTGTCTTGGGGTCATCCAAAGGAATATCAACTCTGGAGCTTCAGGCCATGCTGCCATAGGGAAGCCTCCCAGGCCAGTGGTTGCTATTTGGAGAATACATGCAAGTACACACGTGTAGATGCTTTAACAGGGTGTTGAGGGGGGACTGGAAGCCGCTTGTGACTATTTAGTACCAGGCAGTGGTGGTGGTCACTTTCCTATTCAGAGCCTGCAACCTATCTCTGCTCTGGGTCCTTGGAGAACGCCATGGCTCTCCTGCTGTTCCCACAGGCACTGCCTGTTCCCCTTGCCCCAGTGCCTCCCCCAAATGGGAAGCATGGTGTGGTTAGTGTTGCCAGAGGAGAAAAAGAGGGCAGGTTTCTTGTTTCTGTGGAATCTGGGGAGAGGGAAGTGACACTTGAAGTCTGAGTCAGTGTGAACATGAGGAAGGAACCTTTCCCGGGAGGGCCCTTGTCCTGGGAAAGGTTCATGCGGGAACCAATGCTAGAGTGGGAGAACACCAACCTTCTCCTCGAGGATTGGCTTCATCCCCTCCCAGAAGCCTCCCCAACCCACTGATCTTAGGTTCTCAGGAGAGGCCGTGCCCTGGGCTCCCTGGCACTGCGAGACATAGGCCCTGCCTGACTGCAGGCTCTTCCTGTGCTGGTGCTCCCCCACCATCTCCTTTCTCCTGTCTTACACTTCTGAAGGCAGGGACTGGATTCATTTGGCCAAAATTCACTGAGTGCTCAGCTAATGGTCTAGGACCATGGTCGGCAAACTGTGGTTCATGAGCCACATGGGGCTCTTTGGCTCCTTAGGTGTGGCTCTTCCACAAAATACCTGGACGAGTCTAGTTTGAAGAAGTGGTGTTAGAAGTTTAAGTTAAAAAAATTTGGCTCTCAAATTTCAATCGTTGTCCTGTTGCTATTTCCAGAGAGCTGGATATATATATTTTAAATATATTAAATATATTTTATTGATTTTTAACAGAGAGAAAGGGAGAGAGATAGAGAGCTAGAAATGTCGATGAGAGAGAAACATCGACCAGCTGCCTCTTACACACCCCCTACCGGGGATGTGCCCGCAACCAATGTACATGCCCCTGACCGGAATCAAACCTTGGACCTTTCAGTTCGCAGACGGACGATCTACCATTGAGCCAAACCGGTTTCGGTTGTAAAGTTGATATTTGGCTCTGTTGACTAATGAGTTTGCCGACCACTGGTCTAGGACTTAACAGTCAATAAGTTCTGGTTCTTGCCCCCAGGCCATCAGTCTAGCAGAAGTGATGACCATCAACCCTGGGTGTCACCTGGGAGGTGCAGGAGGTGGGACTGAATGCAAATTTGCATGAAAGCCAGGTTGTAGTGGACTTAGGGGGTCACAAGGCAAGGCCCCAAATAGGTGAGAGATGAGGCAGAGCAGAGCCTTGCCTCAGAGTATGTGTTTTTCCTGTGTGGGAGGTTTTGAGTGTATGCCATGTTCAGAAAGTGGCCTCCATGGGTCTTGGTGGGCTCAGGCTGTCCCACAGAATGCAACAGACCAGGCAGCTTTATTTCCCACAATACTGGAGATGTTCTTCTTGGTTCAGATGGCCATCTTCTCCATGTCTTCACAGGGCATAGAGAAAGCCAGTTCCCATCCCTTCTTATAAGGGCACCATTCCTACTGTAAGGGACCTACCCTCATGAACTCTTGTAATCCTGCTTTTGAAGTTTCTTACTGGGGGTTAGGGCTTCAACATAAGAATTTGGCGATACAAACATTCAGTTCACAGCACCAAGTCTGTGTTCCCCTAAAAGGCAGTTTCCTTGTCCATGGTTGCAGACATCTAGAAACTGCTATCCTAAGTCTCCTGTCCTCAGCAGTCTGAAAGTCTCTGTGCTCTCCTCCTTGGCCTCTTCCCAGACATGGGGCAGAATGTGCTTTGACCATATCCCAAACCTAGGAGATCCCTGTGGGCACCCACAGGAACTGGCCGATTGGGGCTTAGGGGACACTCTGGTCCCAGCACCTGCCACTGACCAACATGTGTGTCTGCAGCCTGGTGCGGCAGCATGTGGCGATGGGGGCTCCCTGTGCGGGCCGCTGCCTGCACATATCTTCGCGTCGAGCTGACAGCAGCAGAGCTTCGCTCACTCGTGTGCACAGACAGGCCTATGCACGCTTCTACCCCATACTCCTGGTCAAGCAGGATGGCTCCACCATTCACATCCGATACCGGGAGCCCCGGCGAATTCTGGCGGTAAGCTTCCCTCCCTGGGGTGCAGGTCTAGGCTGGATTGGAGGGAGGAGGGCAAGTCATGGAACTCACCCCACACACCAAGATCAGACAGCAGCAACGGGCTATGTGTAAAACAAATAAAAAAACACTTCCTAGGTAGACAAGCAGAAGTTTCTTTAAAGAGTAGAAGCTTTGAAGGGAGAGGAGTGGCAACACTTTCTGGTCCCTTCCAGTGAATGAGTGCCTGCCTTCCTTTCCTCTACAGATGCCTGTGGACCTGGATGCCCTGTCCCCAGAGGAGAGGCGTGCACGGTTCCGCAAACGTGAGGCCCTGCTCCGAGGGAAGAAGGAGGAGGAGGAGCCAGAGCTCCCTGACAGCTTTGACCTAGAGCGGTACAAGCAGTTTTGGACCAAGAAGTGATCATGCCCACAAGCTGCCCTGGCTCAGGATGCTGTAGAAGGGGAGGGCATTCATCTTTAAATGGAGTGTCAGGATTTTAAATCCACCTTGTCTTTCTTTCTTATACACCTGCTGGGCAGGACTCTCTGTGACTGAGCCCATTGGAGGGATCAGTTGGGTCAAATTGTGGTTTTAGGAGGAGGTTCAAAGGGCACATGAGCTGTTGACAGAAGTCGACGGTGTTCTTCCCACTGCAGGAAGTGCCTGCTACTGTCCAGCCACTCCTCAGCTCCGGAGCCTGCTCTGCCAGCACTGCCTTTGCCTCAGTACCAGGCTCTCCCAGGAAGCACAACATGGGGAGTGGGTGGGATCCAAGGATGGTAGCACCTAGCCTGCAGTTGGCATACTCTGCCCCTCTCTGATGCTCCCCTAGCCCCACCCCGACAGTGGGAAAGTGCTATCTGAGAGGGGACAAGCAGAGCAGCCAGGTCCATTGCTAACTTTTTAAATCTTAGCAAAGAGCTCTGGTGGGCTGCCATCTTTTGCCCTTTCCTGCAAGACCTGAGTGAGCAATTACCAACTTTTACACAAGCAGCTAACCAGGCCCAGGCATGGGGCTACACCTTGTCCTTTCCTGGAGGTTGATCATGGGACCCTGGCTGTGAGGCTCTTTTTCATAAACCTGAGGGCCCATGGTAGAACACTGACATATAGCTAGACAATGGGGACGGCGTTCCAGCCATGGCCAGGGAGGCAGAAGCCTGTGGGAAGTGACCCTGCTCACACAGAAGGATGCTAGGCTGAGCACCCACCTTGGACGGACTCACATCTTTCAATCCTGTCCACTGAGCGTGCAGCCAGGTGTAGCTCCCATGAGTGCTTGCCCTCCACCATCTGCCAACCCTCTGGCTGCTCAGGAACATTCCTGCCTGGGCAGCCTCCCTGGATCCTCATCCCTTCAGCTGCTGCTCCAGCTTGCGTTTACTGCTCACCTTCGGGGAGACACCTAGCAACAGTGTCTGTACCCACTGTGCAGGGCCAAATTGTTCCTGACACTTGGAGATGGTAAGACATACTGACTAGGGTAGGGCTGTGCCCGAGGGTGCAGTGGGGGGAAGAGGCTAAGTGTTGCAGGGAAAAGTGGATTTGTGCCAGGAGCAGGGTAGGGGTCAGTGCTGGGAAGTTACTAAGAGTACTTACCTAATGGGTGTTCTGGTTAAATCCATCTAGCAGGATTGCTACTGAAGGCAAGCAGGCGATCAGACTTCCACTGGGAATGAGGAACCCAACTAGATAGTTGGGAAGGTGGGGGATCTTGCCAGAACTGGAGGTGTAAAGATGGACCTGGAGGCCCAATGCCTGGTGGGAGAGCTCTGAGGAGCCTGAGGGGTTAAGCATTCTCATCTAAACTCTCTATTAGGGTGGTGGCGGCGGCGCAGTACTCCATAGCCCACAGCTCCTTCCATGCCTCTTCTGCCCTCCTTATCCAGTCAAGTCGCTCTAAAATGCCATCAATGCTGATTACCCCCAATATCCAGAATAAGATGGTCTTCCCCACCTGGTAATGTGGGTTTGGGAGAGCAGACTTGGAGCTGACCCTGCGGCTCCCCAGCACCTTACCGTCCTTTGACTGGCATCTAGCCCTTGTCAGACATGGCAGTACCGCCTCTGGACCCACCACAGCTGCCTGTGAGGTCCCATACCTCCCACAACAAGCTTTCCTACACGGCAGAGCTGCTGTCCCTCACTGGAGGCCCCTGAGCATGCGCAGACAAGTCTGGGGCTCCCATATGGGGAAACGGGGGCTCAAACTTAGTGGTAGTGTATTACAAGGCTGGGGTTCAAATCCTGTTGAATCCCACTGTGGGAGCTCCCCAAAAAGCTAGTGAAGGAGTCAGAGGTGGGCCAGGGGAGCAGGTAAAGGCCTCTTCTTTGCCCAACTCACTGAGGACTTGCAGGCCACATAAGCAGGGTACACACTAGGGCAGTGTCCTGTAAAAGAACCCACAACCCAGGGGACGCCCTATTACATGTCTGCAGCCACCCTACTGAATGGGCCCTGCATTCATTATTCCATTATCACTGAGTCGGGTCTGCTACAGGCTGTGGTGACAGGTGCGACGCATTTGTCCAATGACCAGCTGGTAGAGCCAGCAATGAGGCAGGAGAGGGCAGAGGTTCTCTGCAGCATTGCATGCCCTGCTGGGACCACAGCTTATCAAGACAGTGACTTTTGGGCGCCGGCCCTGGGTCCTTGCATCGCCACACAATAGGGCTTCTAATAGCAGCTGTCCAGCCACTTGGGTCCAGTTTCTGCCCTTTCTGGGGTTGGGCTAGGGCGGGGCAGTGTTCATGTGCGTGGGTTCAAAGCCAGAGCCCAGCAGCCATGATGCGCGAGGCGGGCACCAAGGCCAGGAAACCCAGAGGCGACGGGCAGCCTGGAACCATGTTTGGTTCTAGCCTAAGCGGCAAGTGTGTGTGTGTATACTTCGTGGGTGAGCCCGAGTGGAGGTCGGGGGTGCATGCCCACTTGTGGGCCGAGGACTGGCCTGTTCCCACAGGCAACTCGCTGATGGCGCAGGTAGGCTGCTGAAAGAAGGGCCACGCGGACAGGACAGCGTTGTGCTGCACCAGGAAGGGAGCCTGGGGCGCACTGGGGAAGACAGGAGGGTGGGCTGAGGAAAGGCTCATGGCCTGACACTCACGCACCCTCCACTGTGAAAAAGCAGCCTACTGGCCTGAGCAACGTGAGGGGCAGCTTCCTTGAGGTGTGAGAGGGAAGGGTAAACTACACAGTACCATGATCTGCAGGTGCAAAGGAAGTGACCACGGGGGAAAGGGAGTGGACCGGCTTCTGGCCTGGGGAGCTACAGGTGCGGAGTAGGAGCTCTAATGAAGGGCAGGGGGCTCGGCCTTGTCAGCCAGGGCTCTCAGCAGGCCTGCTGACTTCCTCTTCGGCTAAGTGATATTCCCATCTCTGGCCCCTTTTCCTTTTGGGGAGCCTCTTTAAGTTGTGAGCCTGGGCCCACCTGTTGTGGAGGCTACTTGAGGGGTGCAGGAAGAAGTACTATGGCGAATGTGCTGGAAGGGACCATGAAAAGGCCCCACAAATTTTCTGCTTAGGAGGAAAGGCCCCTATTGGAGCTGCCCATTATGCCAGTCACTGCTGGCACTGTGTGTCCCCCTCACAGCCCTGAGAATCACAAGAGCAGGAAAAAGAAAAAAGCACAAGAAAGAGGAGAAAAACAGCAGAGGATCAAGGTGAGCTTTCTTGATGTCCCTGGCTCAAGTAGGAACAGCAGCTGTGCCTGTGGGGCTGGGCCAGGTGGTAGACAATTCCCTCATATACCCCAGGACTTGCCACCACAAGCACTACTCTGACTCCTTGCCCTGTTGTAAGAGAAGGCGAGGGCATGACAGTGACTAAGACCCAGCCCACCAGGACCCTCTCAGCCTAGGCAGGCAGGCCCTGTCCTCAGTGAAGCCTTTGAGCATGTGCCCCACCAGGCCCAGGGAGCTGGAGAACAGGCTTCTTGGGGCCCTACCAGGCCCCTGTAAGTAGGCAAGGTATCTAGATGAGGCCTCACCCCCAGGTAATCCAGGCCCATCAGGGGAATACAAACCTGCCCAGGAGAGAGAGGTTCACCTGCCTTGGGCTTCAGTTACTGCTACTTCTATTTTTCTTTGTGTCGACTCATCCTTTGTACTTAAATAAACTTTTAAGCTGAAGTCCTAATAGAAAGTGATGTGAGAGAATGTGTCAGATGCCCTGGATTCCAGCAGTACCACCTAAGATCTCACTTGGTAAGGGACTCTCTAGTTGATGGCGCTGGGCAGAAGTTGCTCACCTGCAGGTGGGCCTTTCTGCGGTGGAAGAGTGCAGGGGGAGAAGGCAGTCAGAACAAGTTGCTTGTAATTAGTGGATAGGGGCTGAAGGTGATTTTATACTTGGAGACACACCTTTGTTCCTCAGGTACCCAGAGATCTGCTACCTGTTCCATGAATCTGCTCTGCTTCTCCCAGGCAATCTCCCGTACCCTCCCTCCAGCTCCTCTGCTAGGAGATATGCCTGCAGCCATTCATCACCTCATCCACACAAGAAATGAACATTTATAATAAATCACATTGGAGTAAAGACAAAACCCAGGCTGGATTATGAAATATATTCAATTTTGCTTCTGATTTTTTAAAGAACTGAAAAGGAAAGATGATTCTGTCTTTAGAGCCCTGATTATCAAAATGTTAGTGAGACTAGATAACAGGGCAGAGGGCTGGGCCCCACACAGGGCTGGATGGCTCTGGGGGAAGGACACCTGGAACTTGGATTGGTCAGATACCAGGGAGCCCAGAAGGGTCAAAGGGATAGCCCCTGGATTGGGTAGGGGGCCCACAGCACCCAAATGGGCAGAAATGTGCACCATGGCAAAGGCTCGGGAAGCAATGATAAGGAACTAAACCACTGTAGGTGATCCCAGGCCCTGGCCTTTTAGGCAACCCCATATGGAGACCTTCCTGGCCCAAGACTGGGGACTGGACTGCCAGTGGAGACAGACCAATGACAAAGCCCCCCAGGAGTGCTGGTCACATTCCCTAAGGCATCCCTGCCTGTGTCCCAGGAGGCAGCCTTGGTCAGTGGCACCCAAGCACTGGAAAGCCATGAAATAGTTAAGAGATTTTATTCTAATAGCTATAATTACAGTGCTTGTTTGTCGAAATGAAAACTGAAAACAAGTATACAAAACAGTTGATTACTAATCGTGTATTGAAAGCAGTAAGAGTTCCACGACACCAGATAAACCAGTTCTGAGTTTTTCCCCAAGATAAATTTTAACAGCTCTAGTTTCTTCAGTGTTTTATCAAAATACAAAAGAAAAAAGTAGAGGTTGTTGTTTTTGATGTCAATCTGACCCTTGCAGGCTGAGGGAGTGAAAGCACATGTGGACGGGGGCTCTGAGGAGCTAGGTTCTAAGATGACTGGTCACCTGTCTGCGTTCCTACTGGTGAGACCCAGACAACCTGAA